TTGCTAGGTAAGCCTTCCTCCAAGTAGAGAGCTGCAGCCTATCTCAAGTCTAGAATGAACCATTTTAAAATAAAATTATTATTAATTCATTTTGAATAATAATAATTGTATAAATAAGAATTTGGCTAAATAATCAGCACTGAAATAAATTAAAAAAGTGACTCATATCCTTTAAGAACTTTAAGTGGAAATCCTTCTCAGCAGAATTTTTTAAACACTCTACCTTAAACAGCAAAATATACAGCAAAATGAAACCATAACCCATGGAAACAAAGTACTTTAGAAGTTCCTAGTTTTAAGTTTCCTCACTAATATTTAAATACTCTTATATTTATAAAGATTTATGGTTTAAAAAAAAAACCTGACAAGATCACAGTAACTTCTTTCACATTATTACCATTTATTGAGTCCTCACAGAAACTAAAATTTTATAACCAGTCCCATTTAATTCTCACAACAGTCCTGAGAGGTACATACTGTTTCCTTTTTATAAGTGAGGGAACTGACGCTAAAAAAGTTAACTTTCTCAAGGTCACAAAACAGATTTAAGACCTGAGTCAGAATTTGAATGGGCCTCTGTGACTCCAAAGCCCTGTGCTCTCAATCATTGTTAGTAGGATGTTCTAAGCCCAAAATTAAGTTAAAATTCCTTAAGCCAACCCAGGATAATATTCTTAGTGAAAAAGAAATGGCTTCTATAAACCAACATTTAGGTTCCAAACCAAACAGAAGAAATACTCTGACAGTCTATCTTGTTCTGAATTAATTACTTCAAAGGTAAGCTAGCTACTCACTGTCATGGCACCTCATTAAAAAAAAATTTTTTTTTAATTCTCCCTTTAATAGCTAAACTCATGTCCAGGGTCTCACTTAAGTAATTTCACCTGATCTCAGATGACTTCAGCAAACAGTATATAAAATGCATTAGGTACCCTCTTCTTGTAAATGACTTTCCACTCTGGGGGGGTGGGGGAAAGGAAGTGGGTAGATACTGAACATATTCAATATTCACCCCGTATAACAGAATATTCTGGCCCAGAGGAGCAAGTGGTGGTAAGGGCATCATCAGCTAGTATGCAGAGATTTGCAAAGTACTGGTAGAGTAAAGAAATGTTACCTGCTGCATTTGGTCAATCATTCTTCCTTAGCACCCAATTGCAAAGTCAGACACCGCCACCATGCTTAATACTCTTTCTAAACTCCACCCTCCACTGTAAAGCTTTAACAGCAATGGCTTCTCCCTCCCTGGTAATGATCTTTGTTCAGCATCATAACCACTGATGGCTCCCTCCTAATTCAGGAGCAAAGAAAGAACGTCAGAGAGAGAGCCCATTCACTGAACAAAAAAAAAGCATTTACTGTACTTTTTTCTCATTGGAAACTGTACCCTTTATCTCTGTTGATTTAAAAAAAACACACAACTATTTGGATTCTTTCCGGACTAACCAATAAGCAATTGTTTCTACCCACTCCTCACCCTCCAATATGTGTTGTCTTATAATAAATATTTAATTCGACCGAAGAGCACACAACTTCTCCCCGCCGCCCACTTTTTGGGAAAGGTCTGTAGCCAAGGAGGACTCTTCCCTTCCTGCTCCAAAAACAGGTTGGGTCCTCCCAGCGCTGCAGCAGGAAGCGGCCAGTCCATGGCGATAAAGGCAGCTCGCATTTGTGCAGCGCACAGCCTTTCCTGCCCGGGAACCGGGCCTGCAGGTCTGGCAGGGATAACAGCCACCACCCATCCGCAACCCCTTCCCGCGAGCGGAGTCAGAGTCACCCCGGGCCGGGCCGGGCCGGGCGCCGCTGGGGAGGGAGGGAGGG